TTTCTCTGCTGAATTTACCGTAAGACATTCCAGGAGTATATTCAAAAGTAATTTTGTTTAATTGAAGCTAATTACAGTATCTCAATAGGATGCACAAGAAGTCTATTCACCCTAAATTCACAAGATAAAAATACAGATAACTTCTATCTTAATTCTAAAACCATACACTATACTATATATTTAATTACTTCAGTTGACTTCTGGTATTGCATGCCATTATGTAGGCCAATTGTTTGATAGTAAAAATAAATTTCTTTCATAAATGGCTGCCTGTTTAACAGACTGGATTGGCTGGCAGTCACCACCACCCACTGACAACCAAACAGCCATAATTATAATCATCATCTCCATGTTGCTAAAAATGTAATACCTGTAGTACTGGTTAAATGCTTAATAATTTTGTTATATTTGTATTCAGAAGATTTTCCATTTGTTTTGCATGAACTTGATCATAAACAGTTTACTATTTATGGTAATAGCATTGTGTGCCAGGAGGGGTGGTCTATACATGCACTAGTTAAATGCCAAGGTCTGTAATTTGGTCCACTCCAAATTCAAAACGTGTGACCTGCTAATTATCGTGGGAAGTTAGGAGCATCCTGGAAACATGGGAGTACTGTACTATGGTTGCCCCTCGTGTAACGAGGATGGCCGGCCCTAGGGCCACGAAAGCATAAATTTGTTTAAGGTGTAAAAGCTGTCGCCAACACAATAACCACACCCTGAATTAACAAGCTGAATGACCCAGTGTCAAGGAATAGTCCGAGAAGACCGGACAGCTCACCATTACCCTGGAACATGATCTGCAAATCGATTAACATCCAGGTTCCCAATTACTGCTGGCAAATGGCGTAAAGAAACTTGCCCATGGTTTCACCCTGCCCGGGGATCGAACCCAGGACCACTCGCTTGCGAGGAGAGCATGCTGACCATTACACCACAAGTCGCCACGATAGGGGGTACTAGATGTATGACAAGCCCCCATACCCATCCTCAGTATCTGCGTGGTATTTACAGAACTTTCTCACTGGCTCAAGTGGTGTTTACTTCTGTTCAAATTCAGTTTTAAATACAGTATTGGTTCTCATGTGAAACACAAGATTTTTAAAAATCATATGCATTATTAACAATGAAAATTTTGAAAAATAACTACCAGGTATTACTATAATTGATCAGTACACACACACAGTTATAAATAGAAAGTTTTGTCTGTTGTGCTTGTTTATGAGGCATAGGTGCTTCCCAGGACTCTCCTCCAACTTCAACTTGGTGCAATAACAAGAGTCAGCTGTATTTTCTTGGTGGAAATATGGAATATTTTCTATTACCTTATAAACAATATACTGCCAGGCTGGTATTGTTTTAACCTCTATTTAATAACAAATTAAAAGTACCACACTTCCTTATACAATGTGAAATAAATACACACATTACAATTAACAAGTTTTCTTTTCTTTTGTCTTTTTATGGATGAGTCTCCTTTAAAAAGTATATAATATAAGCAAAACTGCTGCTAATTTATTGCATCCCATTACTAGTTCATTTTAGTAGAAAAATTATAGCAGTGGTTCTGTATAGTACAATTGTAAAAATTAATATTTCTGAGGCTGTCAAACTAACAAAATGGTAAGACTCATTCAAATCTCCAGATTGGGGCAGCAGATCTTAAGTGTTAATAAAACACATTATGATGTCCAAATGGTTGAAACCCTAAACACAAGATAATTTTCCTTATTGGTAACCAGTGGCTGACATGAGTCACCAGGTCTGTGCACATCATGGTATATAACACCCTACTAACCTTTCCCAGGCAAAGGAGTCAACCCATGTCTCTCAAGCTTTAAAGTAAAAAAAAGTTACCACTGTCTTCTGGCATTAACTGTAGACTTGAATTAGTAATGACAACATCCACAACAAAAGTCTAGTGTATTACAAGAGTGAGCATGACATACTGTTGTGGTCTCTATTTCTATCCCAAGACTGCTTTACTGCACTTTTAATAAATAATGGTCAAATATATCTTTTGCAGTTATAAAAAAAAAAAAAAAATTGCTGACATGGAATGGGCTGATGCAGGCAGCAAGGTGTGCCATGACTGCAGATATTAATGTTCCTGTGAAATAAGGGGTCACAGACAGGGTGATTAACAACTTTATCATATTAACTAATTGTAAGCGATAAAATCTGCTGAGGTTTTAAGCATTCAGATACAGTACCAATGATGGCACACTACAGCTCTTTTTATAATGTTCTGAAGTTATCCTACTTCATTGAATGATGGCACTTAAAGAAAGGTTTATGTAAGCAAAAAATAGGAGAAGTTTTAAAAAAGAATCTGAAAAAAACATACATCATCTTTCAAAATCTGTAAGACCAATTTCTTGACCAAATGTCCAGTATCCTGACTCTTAGATGGTTCAACTTTAAACATGTATAGTATATATTACACTGCCCTGCATAGTTTTTGAGGTTTGTGTATTATTGGCATGCTGATCTCTAAAATGTTATCCATTTTGCTCAATCAGGTCAGAATTTTGTGCTATAGCATTTTAAGCGGAGATTCAGGTAAAATATTGGCATTTTTCGCTCAAAATGGGGTCCTCATATTCGTTCATTAAAAAAATCATCCGAGACATTGGCAAGCCTCACAGAAAAGATTTCGGTCAGTTTTAATGCCCTTACGATGCATTTAAATACACCCACGTGCTCGCCGGCCATTTAAATGTCCGCCGTGACGCAAAGGAAAAGAGTATATGTCCGTGTTTTTTTACATATATTTTTTCACAATTAAATTTCTTTTTCATCTGGTGGTACATGGCATGTACTAGCAACCACCCCGATGTGCCAGGAACAACATTTGCCTGGTACCGTAACCGTGACAAGGAATTTCGCAAGTTCTTCAGTTTTGACAAGGAAACTTCATTGGTGTATTGCAACAACATCAGTGGACTCATTGCAGCTATGGGAATATCATACAATATATCAGAGTGGCGGCTCTTCATTGACTCACCAAAAAGAAGCTTGAAAGCTGTGTTGTTGTTCAATGGAAACCAGGTCGCGTCTGTTCCGGTGGGGCATTCAGTGCAGATGGATGAGAACTACAACAACATGGAGTATCTGTTAACTGCTCTAAAGTATAAAGACCACAATTGGAAGATCTGTGGAGACTTGAAGGTAATTTAATACACCAAAAACAGTTGCTTTCAAAAATTGATATTTTGTCGACAGTTTTTCTAATAGGTAATTATGTCTGCCGACATACTGTCATATTATGAAGTGTTAATATTTTTTAATAATAAAACTATTCAGCTAAACATATTTTTAATCTGTTTTTTCCACAGGTTGTGTCCATGGTGCTGGGCCTACAAGGTGGTTACACCAAGTTTCCATGTTTCCTCTGTCTGTGGGATAGTCGAGCAGACAAGCAGCACTACATGCAACGTGACTGGCCTGCAAGAAGTGGACTTACTCCAGGTTCTCACAATGTTGTTGCCCATGCTCTGGTGAATCCGCAGAACATTCTTCTTCCGCCACTGCACATCAAGCTCGGTCTGTTCAAAAACTTTGTAAAGGCACCGGACAAAAAAAGCCAGGCTTTCAATTTTCTGAAAGAAAAATTTCCAAAAGTCTGTGAAGCAAAGCTGAATGCAGGAATTTTTGATGGCCCTCAGATCAGAGAGCTTTTCAAAGATCCCAAGTTTGATTGCAGCATGGATGTAAATGAGAAGAAAGCCTGGCATGCCTTTAAGTCTATTGTCTCCAATTTTCTTGGCAACTACAGAAGTCCAGAGTATGGACGAGTTGTTGAGGACCTACTTCTGAGCTACAAAGTTCTTGGTGCACGCATGTCCATCAAGATGCACTTCCTCAGCTCCCACTTGGACTACTTTCCAGAGAACTGTGGTGATGTGAGTGAGGAACAAGGAGAACGCTTCCATCAAGATATCCGTGTAATGGAGGAGCGGTACCAGGGTCGCTGGGATATCAACATGCTCGCCGACTACTGTTGGTGTCTGAAACGGGACGCCCCAGACACCAACCACCAAAGAAATTCTCTGCGACAGCCATTTATGCATGTCTAACTGTAAAGGCATCTATGTAGTTGACATATTTTGGTCCTATGTGTTGTGGTTACATTTCTTATGATATATTTTGCATAAAAATTTTGACATCATATTTAAGAATTTCGATTTTTTCCTAATTCCCATAGCATAAAAATCTGACCTGATTGGGCAAAATGAATGGCATTTTTGGAATCGGCACGCAAAATACATAAAGAATCAGCTAAGAAACCCTGCACCTCATGAATTTTTTTTTCAAATGCAGCCCAGTGTTATCGATGGTGACAAATCAGAGGCTAAGCTGGCTATCAGGATCTTTTTTATCTTTTATCCCTCCATCTTTAGAATTTAATGTTTCAAGGTAATATTGTAAATGACATGAGAGACAAATAGGCATGATAACTGCTCTCCAATACAGAGAAAAATGTGAAAAAAAGGTAAGAAGGTTCCAAAGACTTCTTCAGCAACAAACGATCACATCAATATCATTTCTTGGATTATGTGACTGTGACTAACATAAAATACATGAACCAAGATAACTGAATAAAAGCCTACATGAAAACCTTAAATTTTTTGAGCTCCCAATTATTACTGAATGACTGGCAGTATCTAGAGATAATTTTTCATTAATTTTTTGTATATGTTTTTCCAATTCTAATTCATTATGAAAAAATAATAAAAATAAAAGATCCTACAAGAATAGAGAAGATCTATCCCTCATCCTTATCTCAATATATCGGTAGAATTGAAGAATCTGTCAACGTTATCATATTACAGCAAAAAGAAGTACATAAAACTGTCCCCTACTTACATCTGCAATGAATCTTAAATCGTACCTACAAATGTATACAACGCCCAAAATATATGCAAAATGTTGACATTAGACACCCCAATCTATGATAATCCAAATATCTTAAGTGGGGAAGAAAAAAAAGTATATAATATTTAAACCTTTAGTCACATTTTTTGGAACTTCAAAGGGAGAGTCTGCTTTTAGAATGTTTCAAAATGACCTTTTCAAGGAACTTGTGAATGTATTGTACACATCTGGAGTATGAAGCCAATCCATGTGAGATATGCACAATGGTGATTTTCATGAAGATATTGCACTTTCCACATACTTAATACATATTTACACTTGTCTTTATAAGAGTTATAAGTGAAGAATATCAGTCGATGAAATTTCCACATCATCAAGTCCAACAAAAATAAAAATTTTAATATAATCCTCTACCTTTTCCGCAAGTTAAAAAAAAATAATAATAATTATCATAATGATGATGATGATAACAATAATAATAATAATACATTCCCTGCAACCACAACTTCTTAGGCAATCATATCTATATACAAAACAAGCTCACACTTTTTAACACACACACACAAACATAAAAGCATGTTATACCATGACTCTTTTCATCATCCCATCTGTAGAGGCTTTTCAACAATACACAGGGAGTTTACTTCTTTTATAAACATTTATAATAAATGCTACTCTTACTGATGTACAAAATCACAGAGACGATAATGATGAAGGAGTGTTAACCCCATGTGGACAATGTCACTACATGTAGCTAGCACTATCAGCTGTCAATACAGGTTCCATCACACTCCAGGGGTTAATACCTGCAATCCCATCCATGGGAAAAGGTAAACTACTGACTCACTGGTTATCACATGTATAGGGGCCATCTTGTACCTACCATATGCACTTTTTTCCTTCCTAATTTGGCATTACATCATCTTGGTATGAAAGTGCAACAGGTTAAAATACAGCATGGCAACTCTCACACCTGAATTATTTACATAGTACAGACACTTTAATTAAAGCTTGTAAGGATAAACAAGATTGTTATATATATATATATATAAAAGGGCACTGATACTCTACACTTGTAATGCTTGGGTTTAAATCACATCTCACAGACTATTTGAAAATATACCACGTAAGGTTGTGTCCACTTTTTAATCACTACCCAAGAGTGACTTCATTTCTACAGTGCTGCCTTTGTGACTGTGATGATGATTTAAAACAATGCATAGAATTACCATACACCAAAGGATTCAGTGACAATTGCACTAGTGGTATAAAATGGTTCTCCAAGACCCTACTTAGCACATCTGTTACAGCTGTGAACTGTAATATACTGTATCTGGAAAAGTTTATGCCTGTTCTTTTGAAACCCAAGCAAATTCAAAATAGTTGTCACAAATATCCATGTAGAGTCACCATGGATGGTATTAAAAAATGAAGCACAGCCGACCTCCCATCTCTTCATAATGACCTTATTTATATATTAAAATAATATATATTTATATATATATATCAAACAAAAAATTAGTAACCTTATTCATGGCTTAGGCCACAAAACAATATTTTCTTGTAATATAATTTTTTTTTGTTTTCAGTTAAAACTACAATCAGCAATATCCCTCTCTAGAAATTCAGTCACATCACATCTTCCTTAATCCTTCTATGGTAAAATTGGGTAATAACACCATGTAATAAATTGTAAAAAACAAGCAATCTTCATTCCAACTCATTTTAGTGATCACATCTATGCAGAGAATACCTAAGGCATCAAGTCACATCTGAAAGCTTGATTGATTACACCACTTAACATTATCTGGTAATTAAAAGAATATTATTGTGGTTGTTTGTGCTTCACTGCTTAACTACAATCAGTAAGTTAATAACATGAATTTTCTGCATCACCAACATGTCATTAAAAGGCTGAGCAAAATTTAACTACCATGTCTCAGTGCAGTACTGAAATATTTAATTATCTATTCACCCTCAGCGATATTTCCCTTCCAATTTTTTGACAATAAAATTTTACAGCCATGTACCAGAATAAAATTCATGATGAAATGTCATCATCTTGTCATTCAATAAGTTATTACATTTTGCCTTGTTATAACAATTTTAAGACTATAAACATCAACACTCATTGTCCTATATTAGACTACCTTTCATGTTTAATGTGAATATGCAACATCAACCAATTCTTTCCCATAAGACAGCTAGGAGTAAAGTATTATTAACCTATGTGTTATGTTATTTTGCTTGCTTGTGCTTTGTTAGTTTTATTGTAAGGTGAGCCAGAACACAGTGAGGGCAAGCCATCTCTGGCTGATCACTGTGGTACTGGTCCAGCAAAACCCGTGCTGTATTACCCAGCAGGCCCGGGACAGTCATCACCGATGTTTCCATTTGAGGAAGAACTCGAGTCTGTTGTAAATAAGAAGAGTTCACCTTTAATTCCAACAGGAATCTAAAACTCTAACTGAAACTCAAATAATTATATGCCAATATATATATATATATATATATATATATATATATATATATATATATATATATATATATATATATATATATATATATATATGTATGTATGTATGTATGTATGTATGTATATGTATATATATATATATATATATATATATATATATATATATATATATATATATATATATATATATATATATATATATATATATATATATATGTATACATGTATGTATCCGAAATGTAAAAATTAAAATGATAAATGTTTTTTTGATGTAGCATTTTTTTTTTTTTTTTTTTATTAGCCCACCCGGGCACAGGTCACTGACCCACATCGGGGCCTGGGGGGTGAAAATGTAATAGTAATAATAATTATAATAATAATGATATTACATAATAATAATAATTATTCATAGTAAATAAAAATTTTAATAAAAAATACACAAAAATAAAATAAGAATGATAACAAATGATAATAATAACAATAATACTGTAATAATAAAATAATAATAAAGAAATACAAGAATGAAAAAAAAGATCAAAAGTGAGAAACACGACCTAGACCTATGTATTATTATTATTATTATTATTATTATTATTATTATTATATTTTAGCCCCCAGGCCCCAATGTGGGTCAGTGACCTGTGCCCGGGTGGCTGATCTCTAAGAGAAAAAAAAAACCCTAACCATTCTGAAAACCGAAAAATTCCAAAAACCGAAATGCATCTGGTCCCAAGGATTTCGGATAAGGGATTGTCAAAAAAAAAATATATATATATATATATATATATATATATATATATATATATATATATATATATATATATATATATATATATATATATATATATATATATATATATATATATATATATATATATATATATATATATATATATATATATATATATATATATATATATATATATATATATATATATATATATATATATATATATATATACACACAGTATTACCCCGCCTAACGCGGTTTCACTTAACGCGTTTTATCATATACGTGGTGCCTCGCCAGAGCTGAACTTTCACTTAACACGGATTTTTCCACATATACGCGGTGAGTGTCCGGCTCAGACGCTATTTTTAGATTTGCCCCACCCGCCACCCTGCCTGACTGCCTGTTTTAGCTCATAAAATTCATACAAATTGCCCGGTCAGAATATAATTTACATTGCTGGAATTCTTATAATTTGGTGATCATTTTGAATATAAACATCATATATTTTGCATTAGACATACAAATTTTAGATAAAAATTTTTCTCAGAGTAACTATGTTATCTTTTGTGCAAAATATATGACATTTATATTCAAAATATTCCTGGTCTTACAAGGAATCCAGCAATGTCAATTATATTATCCTAACTTTAGTTTGAGGTATTATTTATTACAAAAAAGGTAAATATTCTGGTGTTCCCACACATCTGGTGGGACGGTTGGTGGGGGGTGGGGGGGAGGGAGGGACCGACCGACCATCTGTTACCCTGTGAAAATATATATTTTTTTTTATTAACTGAAGATATTTGTTTTAGCTCATAAAATTCATACAAATTACCCGGTCTGAATATAATTTACATTGCTGGAATTCTTATAATTTGATGATCATTTTGAATATAAACATCATATATTTTGCATTAGACATACAAATTTTAGATAAAAATTTTTCTCAGAGTAACTATGTTATCTTTTGTGCAAAATATATGACATTTATATTCAAAATATTCCTGGTCTTACAAGGAATCCAGCAATGTCAATTATATTATCCTAACTTTAATCTGAGGTATTATTTAATACTAAATGTTGAAAACTCTTGAAGGGAGGATTGGTGGGGGGTGGGGGGGAGGGTTGGGACTGACCGCGCGGTTGGAAGAGGGGGGGAGGCAAGGTGGGGTACTTTGATTGACAGATAGTGTCCTGAAGATTATTATTTTTTTTATTAACTGAAGATATTTGTTTTAGCTCATAAAATTCATACAAATTACCCGGTCAGAATATAATTTACATTGCTGGAATTCTTATAATTTGGTGATCATTTTGAATATAAACATCATATATTTTGCATTAAACATACAAATTTTAGATAAAAATTTTTCTCTAGGTAACTATGTTATCTTTTGTGCAAAATATATGACATTTATATTCAAAATATTCCTGGTCTTACAAGGAATCCAGCAATGTCAATTGTATTATCCTAACTTTAGTTTGAGGTATTATTTATTAAAATTTAGTGGTTTTCCCCCAAAAATTTCTCAGAGAGGGAAGAGCCGGCAGTGTAGTGTGAGAGGGGGAGGGAGTTGAGTCCATTATTTGAATGGACATTAACTTGGCGACTGTATTTCTCTATTTCTCTTAAGTATTAATTGTGTGCATGTACCATCATAAAATTAAGATGTTATTTTTACTACAACATAGGTATGTGCCTTCAAAAAGTGGAGTTTGGGGGTCGGGCCGGTTTCTATTGGAATTAATCCCATATGTTCTGTTGTTCACTTAACGCGGATTTCACTTAACACGGGACCCTCTGGGTTCTATTGACCGCGTTAAGTGGGGTACAACTGTATATATATATATATATATATATATATATATATATATATATATATATATATATATATATATATATATATATATATATATATATATATATATATATATATATATATATATATATATATAAAGCATCATGCATTACATAAAACAAATGGAATAAGTGGGCAGTGTGGATGACTTTCAATTCCACAAGCAAGTAAACTAATTTCCCCCAAAATCCATAGCTACATATGCCAAAGCAACCACATTAAATTTGTTGCAAATCTAGGGCTAAATCAAAATAAAATGAAGAAATCTATTTAATTATTCATCCCCCCCCCTCCCCACCGGTCCTAAAAAAAATAATGAAAAAAAAACAAAAAAATATGGAAAAATGGAATTCAATGGAAAATAATTCACAATACATACCTTAAAATCCTTCTTAGTGAAATGATGCCCACAAGTAAATAAAACACAATCTTTCTCTTGTTCCTTGGGAATCTTGCTTCCACCTTTTTGTTTATGGCTGCCAATTGAAATAGAACCTCTTGTCTCTGTCTTCTTGCCCTGTGCACTCTCTTCTTTTTGTAGTTTAGTTATATCATCCTGTGTCAAGTTAATACTTTCAGAAGCCTTCTTTGTTAATGCATCCACAGCTACATCGAGTTGGCTGCTTTCTTCATTGAATACAGCTGAGGTTCTGTTGCTCTGGCTGGGTTCAGTACCGGGCTGAACACCACTGATGAGAGCCAAGGTGTCCACATATTCCCCACCAGCACCTCCTGGTTTTAGGTGAAGAGAAATTATCATCCCAACAAGTTGGCCAATACCGCCAGAGGCAGCTTCCTCTGCCATGCCAAAATAGTTCAAAATGCCATAACTTTGGATAATAAAGATAATAGAAGCTAATTATCAAACTTGTCTGGGATCTTATAAAATACATTACCTATTTCCCAAGTTTGTTGAAGAGGCAATTATCAGTGAACATTAGTCAAATCAGACAATTTTGGTATTTTTCATAATCACACAAAACAAACAATTAGTATGATTGGTGAGAAGTTTAACTGCTAAGAGAGATACGAAAATATAAGTGAGTAAATCCACTTCTTAAATCTTCCCAACCTTTACACCTTGCCATGTTCATAAAATGAATAGTATGTACTGTATTTGTACATGTTTTCATCATGCAAAATCTCATCATGCTAGTCTGCCCTTTTATTGGGAAAAAATTTACGTCTCTTCATATTACCATATTTGCTGGCATAAAGGATGCACTCTTTTCTAAAAAATTTTGTCAAAAAATAACCCTGCATCCAATGCACCCATACTACAGGTTGTACCTCTCTAGTCCGGCAACCTCGGGACCTGACCGGTGCCGGACCATGGAAATTGCCGGACCATGGAAATTCACCCTTTTCCTGGATAGATAGTGACTTGTGCTTATGCCTGGAAGCACTAGCACCACTTTCTCTGCGTCATGGTCTCTTTGAAAACATATTGAAGGGTTAAATGTCGTATAGTAGCTTCTTAAATTTCGTGAGTTTTTAATTCTTAACGTATTTTATTGGAACACACACAAAAATAAATAAATAAAAATTTTGACGGCGGAAACTTGAATTTCGACGGGTTTGAACGGCCCGCCAACGTGCAGACGACGTGCATAATCGTGTAAACAGCGTCATTTCTCTTATGTACAAAAGATTCATTATTGTTTATTACTGAATGTCTTATTAATGTTTATGTGTGCAAAATGAGCAATACAATTCATTAATAATACGTAGAATATTAAAACACACGAGGAAATGATACAGCATTGTATTCGTTGATTACAAAACCAGTGACTGACTGGTTCTACATATAAAACTGAAGAAAATAAGACCTTGGTTGTAGCTGTAGTAAAATTAATATGGTTGTTTTAAGTAATGTTATTTAATGTTAATAAATGGAACAATAGAAGTAGCTAACGATAATGGTAAAGAAAAAAGAGAGATCGCATATGTAAGTGCGCATGCGCACACGTGAAAACATATCGTCATTACTTTACATAAGAATATGAAAGCAACACTTATTTACTGTTCATATATATTTTAATTAATGTTTCTGAATTTGTTTTTATTGAATTAATGTACGTGTGTGCAAAATTAACAATACAATTTATTAATAATACGTGGAATATTAGAGGAGACGAGACGGCTGCCGGCATTGTTTATGTTAAAGCTTACGAAACCAGTGACTGATTGGTTCTACATATAAAACTGAAGAAAATAAGACCCTGAGTTTAGCTGTAGTAAAATTAATGTAAAAAAATGAATATGGTTGCTTGAAGTACCTGTAATGTTATTTAATGTTAATAAATGGAACAATATAAGTAGCTAACCATTAATGGTAAAAAAAAGTGAGACTGCGCGTATGTAAGTGCGCACATGTGAAAACATATCGTCATTACTCTACATAAGAATATGAAAGCAACACTTATTTACTGCTCATATATATATTGAAGGGTTAAATGTTGTACTCTGTATAGACAAGCAGAGAGAGAGAGAGAGAGAGCAGCCGAACTGCCGGATGTAAACAAACCTTAATTTCCCGCGGCTTTGTTGTTGTTTTTTTAAGGGGATTAGCCCACCCGGGCATAGGTCACTGACCCACATTGGGGCCTGAGGGGCAAAAATTTAATACTCCTGCAATAATAATAATAATTCAGATAAGTAAAAAAAAAAAAAAAAAAAGCTGCCTATCTACCTATTGGACAAACTAAAATCGTTCCGGACCACGGGAGTTTCCGGACCACAGAATGCCGGACTAGAGAGGTACAACCTGTACCAGGTTTAACTGTATTTTTCTTTGTTTTTCATTTACGGAATTTATCCTACTTCAGTTATGTGAGCCTAATTTCTTAAAACCTCTCCATGTCATTCTTGGCCTATTCTGCTCCCTTCCATTTTCAAAGTCATGCGTCTCTTGACCCGGTTGGTCTCCTCCATTCTCATAGCAGAACTATCTCAGCCTACCTGTACAAAACACTTGGCCAACTCTCAATACCCAGCTGCTCCCTGCTCAGAACTGGGTTTCCTACCTTCCAACATCACATTACACATCTATCTCACCATTATGCACTATATAAAAACATATTTTTTAGCAACCATCCTACCAAGCATTTTCCTCATTTGTCTATATTATCACAGCTTCTCATCTTTTACCAACTGACTCGTTCACTAAATAATCTCCCTTTTATTCAAAGTTCTCCACAACCTATTCTAAGTGGAATGTTAACCTTTCTGTCAGTTATAATCTACAAGCTAATTTGCTTATTAAATATCTATGCTTATTCTTATTCAGTTTTGGTGGTTTGCTTACAAAGGCAACAAATATCACTCAAGTTCACATTATATCGAACCTTTCACCTCATACTGCCATCTTTTAGTAACTTTCACCTCATACTGCCATCTTTTAGTAACTTTCACCTCATACTGCCATCTTTTAGTAACTTTCACCTCATACTGCCATCTTTTAGTAACTTTCACCTCGTACTGCCATCTTTTAGTAATCTGATAGCCATCAAACGATATCAGCAATTTTATCCAACCAAGATGAAAAAGCCAAACAAAAGGTAACAAGCAGGAATGTAAGTGTTCAGTCTGCCTTTGGATAGAAGTCCTAAAGTGGGAGAAGTGAAGGCCTTTTCTTTGATACATGTTCACTCTACAACACTTACTGATATCTCACATTTTATTAAACCATACACTGTAATAGCCTTTCAATGTATGTTACTTACACAACCTGTATATCTCCATGTTTATCCACTTGTGCCTCTTTTGTCAATTTTTTTCCTTGCATTAATCTAATTTATTTGAGTATCCAAATATCTACCGGTACCTATAGTTTTTTAAGCAAAGGACATACACAAAGCTTGTATTACACAATTTAATTCTGTACAGTAATTCAGATTTTGTTATCCATGGTGTACTATGTAAACCATGCTTGAACCTAGGTCATTTGTCAGTAATAATGAATGGTGTTCCCACACATTGTTTTAGGCCAGCCATCACTGGTAAACACCTTATTCCCTCCAGAAGCCTTTGTAGTTGTAAGTTAGAAAAGTAGGATGAAATTATTACAAGTACAATATCTGTAAAGGTAAAATAAGTTAATTATATTAAAGTACAGTACAGTAAACAAATAAGTAAACACAACTCAATGACTACCTCATGGTAATGCTGCTGCCTACCAACACCCAAATATCAACCAATGCTAACCACCAACATCCTAACTTCACCTGATGATAGCTGGGTCCTTGGTCATCATTGTGTGTTACTGAACGGAATTGTGCACGGAGCTAAACATCCATCACATGAGTTGTAAGATAATTAAAAGACCTTTTTTCCATATACTGTGATTTTGCATACTGTACTGTACAGTGATCCCTCAGTTAACGAGCACCTCAGTTAACGAGATTTCGGTTAACGAGTTACCTTCCATAAGATTCTTAACTTCGGTTAACGAGCAATCCCTCGATTAACGAGTTTTTTACAAGCCGACCTCCACATGTTTTAGCTTGCATTTGGTGGTCCACCAGCTGTAGTATTAGTCCGCCAATACAGTAATCGGTTTTAGGGCTTAAATTCCTTACTATTTTAGTAAATATCAAGAAGTTTATACTATTCAATAATTTTAAAAGTTTAATATTAATATTTTTTAGTCATTTTAACAATTATTGAACATAATTGAAGGTAAAGAAACTAGTTTCTGGCACGCCATCCAGCCTGTTAACACACCAGACAGGCGTTAGTCTCTCTCTCTTTTCAATGGACGTAACCTATTGCTTGAGACTCTCTTCAACTAAACGCTTTTTTCTGTGTTTCCAAGCAAATTATTGGTCATTTTGAAATTTATTTTACATATTGACAATATATAATGCAGTGCAGTGTTGATTTAAAGAAAATAATCTTGATTTACACCAAGAGAACTAAAATTTTATGGGTGAAATGGCACCATGGGGTGACTTCTCTTCCACCCCAATGCCTTCTCTTCTCCCTTCTCCTCCATCCCCATTCTAATTCCCATCATCATCATCATCATCATCATCCAGGAGCCTTCTACTTACACACCTCAAAGTAAGTGTGCTTTTCTACATTTTTTTTTTAATTTAGGCAATTTTCTGTGAGCTGGAACCAATTACCCAAAAACCCATTGAAACAATGGTTTTGGTTAACGAGTTTTTCGGTTAACGAGCAACATGCTGGAACGGATTGTGCTCGTTAACCGAGGGACCACTGTACTTGTCTATAACTTTACAGCATTTGGAAATTTTTTATTTTGTAATAGTATTTAAAAGATGCAGTTTTATTGCACATATGCAGAGTAGCCAATTCTTCCGGTGCTGTAGCTTAAGAGTTAAAATTTATTTAAAAAGGGAGGGAAAATGGTTCACAGCTACAACATTTTGCAAGGATCTGGGTCCTTGTCATCTCTCTGGAGAACAAGGTTTCAATGATAAAGCCATTTTGGTACAGTACATTATCATCATATTATTACCGTTTTATGGTTATTTTCTAAGATTATGTGGGTTAGCTATGATTACCTAATAGCATGTTGTCCCAGTTGCCATCATGAATATTTAAAGCAAGTTTTATGGCTGGATGCAAATGGGCAATATATGTTGGACTTCCAAGAACCCCCTTAGGTGGCAAGGCAGGTTCACTACTCCCTGAGGAAATCAAAGATTACCAGCTCCCTTACACAGATAAAAAGCCCATGAACACTTACCTGCCTGGAGATGGCTGATAACTGAGGTACACAAATTGAGACAAAACTTGGTGGACAGCTGACTGAGCACCTTCATGGCAGGGTCATTGCTGGGATCCTCGGTAGCTTCATTATCATTTGGAGCACCATCACTGTCAAGAACAACAGTTTCACATCAAGAAACATGTTCAGCAGTCTAATAATTCATAAGTATAGGTGCCACTACCTAGTGATTTAGGCAGTATTAATTCACTATTGTCAAAGAAAATTTTTTCCCTCACTCACACAGGCATTTACAGGTCATTGGAATCGGGAGCAAGAACTGCTCTCTCTTCTTTAATATAAACAGAATACAAGATGGAGGATTTAACAACCCAACACTCCTGGTGTGAGGAGTTGAAAGGCAATAGTGTATTGGTGAAATGAGACAACATGTTAGACCTTCCACATAAATGACTAATGGTATCCAACTCCAGGTTATAAAATTGTACAAAAATCAGGCTAAAACACACTCAAGTCTTTTAACATTTTAGATAAAGTTCCTCCAACCTAAAGTTCAGTGAAGGGCAGGCAACTTTATTTCTTGTGAAAAAATTCATCAATTTGTTTAAACTGAATTTCTTACAATAGACAATAATCTGTGATAACTGTAATAGATGGAGAGAACTTTTGCTGAACCCCACTAGAAAATGACCAGAAATTAAAGTGAGAACAAATATTCCTAAGGGTTTGGATGGAGTTGTTGGTCAAAGAAAACTAAATGTTAATTAAGCAACACTCCCAGGATACCCTGCAACACTTTACATGTATTAGACTTTCACAGTGCATCACTGTCTAATTAAATTAAAGCAAAGAATCCTTCAAACAAAAATGGCAATATGACATGGACAGTGAAGTGACCATGATCTCTTTCCAAATCCTGTCAACATGTTTTGTAGAATGACTGTTGCTGAGGACCATCAGAATGACTGTTACAGCATGAGCTCCCTATCCCTAATCATATCTTCAAGATAGATACAGTATAGAGGTGCATCTCACTCGTCCCACTTGTCCCTATGATGCTTGGGGAATAAAGAGATGGTCCCTGTAGGCTTACATCTTATATACCTGGCATGCATACAGTATGGACACTAAAAAAGTTACATGAAAAATTTATATATATATATACCGGGGTATATGTTCAGTATTTCAAGTCCAAAAGTGCTCTACTCTATACTCACAAGTGTCCTTTAATCAACAGAGTGCAAAACTGATGCTAGTCCTTTTGCCATGCCGCCAGTAACTTTTTTTAGAGTTAGTTCTGTGGTCTAACAATATTTCATCTAGTACTGTACAGTACAGATACTTTAATTTAAAATTAATATTTTGCATTCGAAAATTTTAATTTTCTTGTAATTTAGATTTTTTTTGTAAGCTTGCTTTCATTTGCAGCCATTAATTTACTTTTAGTGCAATACAGACAGTAAAAGGTAGCCAACTAGTCATTTTGGGTTAAAAGAAGAAGAAATTACCCTTTCAGATTTGTAACTCTTTATGATCAATTCAGCACCCTGATCAATACAGAACGCAAGGACAAACTGCAGGGATCCACACAGTACTGATGAGAAATTTAAACAGATCTCTAGGTATTACTGAGGACCTCTCAAGGAACCATTATATCCATTACAGTGGACTGGTGACAACAGACCATTCAGGGAAAGTCAGGATAAACTGGTTCTTAGGAATGGTCTCAAGAGTGCACTAAGAAATGATAAGACCAAATTACAATGGATGTCTCTGGAAGGCAGATACTGTAGCTCCTATCCACTGGCTACAACACTCGAGCATTTTTCAACATTTCTAGTGAACTCCATGAATCACACTCTACTCTCAAGTATATGGCAAGAAATAAGTGCAATAGGTTTCATGGAATAAGTGCAAGAGGTTTCATGGAATAAGTGCAATAGGTTTCATGGAATAAGTGCAATAGATTTCATGGAACAACAAGTACAACAGATTTCATGGAATAAGTGCAATAAGTCTCATCAGAATATGTCTCAAAAAATATATACCTGTACAGTATATATATATATACTGTATGCTGTACAGTATATACAGTATATACTGTATGCTGTACAGTATATATAGTCTAACACCTAAATTTATCAAGAGTGGTATAAAGTGTACCAGCATCTGCACACTGCCTAAACATTTCCGACTTAAATTTGTTATCCAAAATATTTCCTCATTTTTCAAAAGAACAAAATTTTACTGCATAAAAATCATCTCAAACTCTCATTCAAGGGCATGCCATAATTTGTAGGGCATTCCAAGACAAAAACTGAGGCAAGAATTGGAAAGTATCATCACCCAAGTCCTTTTGTACAGGGGTATTTGTGTTTTTGTTTAATTCAATATGCATGCACGAGAAGGGAACAGCACTAAATCATTACCACTAACCCAAAGAGCAGAAGTGCCAAAGGGTACACAGTGCGGGGGAGGTGTGTGAGCAAGAGGTCCTCCAGCTGTGCCAGCGGGAGGGCGTGCGACAACCAAAGAGAGATACCCTCCTGGAGAACGTGCCTCATGCCTGTTTGCGACTCTTCTGTTTGTAGCTTCAAGTAGTGATCTATTATCCGCACCGCTTCAGCAACCAAGCTATTTATAGGAAGAGACATACAACTGATGAGAATGAATATATATGTACCAAATATCAAGGACTGCAAACAGGCTTAATATGGACTTGCTGTAGGTCGAAAGAGGTTTATGCAATAAGCACAAATAATTTTAAACTTATACAGTACAAAGGACATGAGAAATACAATATACTCACTATCTCATAGTGCTTAGGACCAACTTCATTATGAAAGAGTGAATCTTGTGTAATAACAGTAGTAGTTCCCTTATCCTCTGAGTCACTGTGAACAGTCTACAACTGCATAAGCAAAAATATAAAACTTTAAGGCAAGAATCATACTGAAACAAAATACAGACCAGGTGGATTGCAAAGTTAAATCCCTATAATTGCAGTCATGTCACCAGGTTGTGAATAATTTTGTTTAACAATTACAGTATTTATTCTGTAAATACAATAACACAATTTGTTTGATCCTGGCATAATCTATTTTTAATGAGTACATTGTGTTTTCCCCTGTATGGATATGCATGTACCGTATATCACGGCCTATAAGACGGAATTTGAACCATAAAAAAATGAGCCCAAAGTTAGGGGGTCGTCTTAAGCACCAGATATAAAATTCTTACCTCTTAAATATTGCGGGTTTAGCGTGTCAAGAGTGGTGCGTAAACCACTCACAAGGTCCTACCACTAATTATTTTATACTGAAACTTACGTTTGGGAAGCTGGATTAAAAATAAGATTACCATTTGGGAAGCTGGATTAAAAATAAGATTACCGGTATATTAAAATAATAAAAATGTATTATAAACCTGTCTAACATAACGTAAAAGAACAATATACCCCGGTAATAAACACAGCTGCTATCATCACCCCCCCGCCCCCCCATTTGCCAGTGACAAGAAAGGGAGTGACCTTGACTGTGACCGCCTGTGGCTATTTTTAGCCGTCCTTGTGTTCGGAGGTGGTCAGTAATGCATATCTGTATATTTACTGATCATAATACTCATCTCCTATAAATAATTCATTTAAAATTTATTTTTTTACAAATAATATTCAGTAAATGACTGCGTTAATTCTTGAAACTACCGACAGTGGTAAATTTAGGATATAAATGATGAACAGAAGTCATGTCATGGATTTGGAGTTTGGTCCTTAATGATCACCATAAATGTCTGGTCAACTTCACCTACCAGGTATAATGGTAGCCTCCCTCTTTCACAAAACAAGTATATAATTAAAGAAAATACTTGCAGTGTGTTTAATATATTACAGTATATTATAAATAAATAAATAAATCAACAAATAAATCGGCAAATCTATTTCAAGTAAATGGAAATATTTTACTCACACCGACATTAGTTCCAGTTAAATAACTGACGCTTAAGTGAGTCACTAGTGTACACCAGCCGGTAAAATTTGATGCCAATACTTTAAGTGAATTGTCCTTATTTTAAATAACCAACCATAAATAAATGCAAAAAGGAAAAAAGATCAAAGGTGAGAAACATTATATTGTATGTATGTTGTGTTGTCAAAGGAAGAGAAACAATTGAAACTCTGCAATTGTGTGTAAATGAGGCAGAAGATAGATCAGCAACCTAAGACTTGGTCACAATTTTCGTGATGCCATATGGAAGTAGGATCTACCATTAGATAATACTGTACATTATGCTTCCAATATCTTCCCAGGCGGTAGTATCTCCCTGTTTGGTAGCTGCCTAAAACTTTTAGTAATATTACTTTGATACAACATGATAAATTACCCAGTATGTATTGTCTGCAACCTTTATACAGTAATTGGCCACATTTCAAACAAGAAATTGGTAATGAGACACAGTCATCACACAGTGCAATTAAGCATATGTATTGAATTCAGTAAAGAGAACATGAAATTGGGCAATAATTAATTATTGATGTAACAGAAAAATATGCTTCACATTCAACAATACAAAGGAAATAGTTACTAAGACCCACATGAAATTTTACTGAATATCCTCTGCAATCTTTGTAAAATCTGGTTCACATTTAATAAAAGCTGCTTCCACAAGTTTCTTTTTGTGAGTGTTAGTGAGCATTGAACAAAACAGTACTTGTTCTTTACACAAGTCTGCTGGCAACAGTGGGTTGACCCAAACATTGAAAACAATATGAACTTTACTTGTTTCAAGATATTAATCTGCAATTACAGGAGCTATGTACTTTTGACTGTATTGCCAGTCCCCAGGTATAATGCTTCCCAGTCTCACAAAAATTATCAGATTAGGTGTTTGCTGCATCAAGTGTTCAAAGAGCCTTATCTTACTTAATCAACTTAGCTGGCCACTCATATATTTTGGATGCCATCATGCTGGCTACAAATATAAATTTCCTGGCATCATGTAGCCAGAAGTATGAGGGTTGCGGACCCCGAGTCTAAGATGACGTAAATACTCCGTTAAAAGCCTTATTAAATCAATAACTGATAATGTACATATATTTGGTACCATCATCATTGTAAAATATCTCATATTGCAGTATTCTGCAGTGCAAAATATTAAGACTTTAATGTTAAATTTCCATCATAGGCATATGATTTTTTCTTTTTTTGATTCAGAAAGTTTGTTTGGTTACAAATGAAGACTGGAAGCAAGTTTACTGTACTGACCTTTTCTCTGGAGAAGAGGGGAGACTTTGCTGTTTATCTTGACTAGAAAAGTTTTCATCCTTTATATTTTTTTCTTCTTGATTTTCTTTTGTGCTATCATCCCCTTCATTTTTTTGTCCATTGTCTTTTTTGTACAGGTCACCACTTTGCTTCAAAAGGGCACAAAGATGGTGGTGCATTGCTTGGCTGTACTGTCGCTCAAGGGTGTAAAGTGTTGCCAGAGCCTGGTGGGCTTCTGCTTCTTGTAGCTATAAACAAAATAAAATATAATAAAATAAACAAATCAATTAATACACAATAAAACTAACAGATTTAATAACTCAAATCATGTAGCACATAATATGACACTGGATAACTTTATACAGTACTCAGGGTATTCATACAAAATAATTTTTCTAGTTGACACATAGCACGGACCATTTAACAAACTTATGAGTGACTTAGAGCTTGGGTGCAATGAATGAGTTTATACAAATTCAGGTTGCAAAACTTATTTTAAGATCCTATTCCAGAATCTGTTGAAATAAGGCAATATGTAATTTAATGCTCTATCTGTGTTTTGTTCTGTATACCACTGCACAATACGAAAGAACATGTATCAAAACTGATGTGTTATCTGTGTACATAAAACCTACCATGTTTGTAACATTTTTTATATTATAGCTGCTATGGAGGAAGGTGAGCGCTGCATGCAGAGTACAGTCACCATACAAGCCATCATCCACATCATCAGTTCTGGCACCTCCTTTTTCATCCACTGGCACATCCATCATGTCTAGACGAACTTGACTTAACCACCAATGGGCTCCACCTTTTGGCTAGAAAAGGAAAACTTACCATTATTTTCTGTTAGACAAGAAGGTTCATCATCATCATGTACAAAAAGAAAAATCCAAAATTAGCATAATATCAGACACAGGTACGTGGATACTGATTACCAGACATGTATCATTTTTGGTGAATACGTATATTCAAAGGTAACTTTGAAATTTACTTTTGTACTTAGTGATAGATTTTTGTAATTTTCAACTAAAATGTTTTTCATTCACAGAATGCAAAGCCAGTGACAGAGCAGAAAAAAAGACAAATAAAAATTTACTGAGAAACCAAGCAGTACCATTAAATACAGTAAACCCTTGTTATTTGTGGGGGCTAGGTTCCAAGGAATGGCACGAATAGCAACTTATACTACCTAAGTGCACTACTGTATGCCTATACCAAACAACCAACCAGCCGCGGCAGCACTCCTCCCCTCTTTTAACTTATCTAATAATTCGACTTTCTTTGTTAGGGTCATCACTGACTTCTGCCTTTTACAATTCATTTCACTAGCATCACTAGCACTGACACTAGACAGTCTTTTAGGGCCCATTTCACACAGAAACAATAAAGTTTTAAGAGTACAACATGAGATGCTGCGTCACAGGCAATGGTTGAGCGTGAACAGAGGGAGAGATGCTGTGGGCGCGTGGGATGACTCGTTGTGCTGCGCGAAAAGGCTCGCAAGCTAGACACCATAGCCACCATCTGCTTACAGCGAATCGTCGAAATCGTGAATCGCAAACCTGCGAATGGCAAGGGTCTACTGTAAATGAAACCTTATGAGCTTATGCATGTTGGATTTCACTTTTAAAATTTTATTTGGCTAATGCCTGATGATTTTATTCAGCACAGAGAAACTCCTAGTACCTGAGGGGTTCAAGATAAAATTTATGAAGTCTAGTTTTAGCAAGAATGAACAACTACCATACAGTATATACTCGTGTATAAACCGATCCCATATACAGTATATAGTTGGACCTGATTTTTTATTAAAAAAAAAAAAGTTTCTCATATATCTCTTGTATATTTCATCCTACCTTTTGAGAAATAATAGCTACAGTAATCTCTCCGTTAGCTGGAATCTCCGATCCCCATAAATCTCCAAAAATTGGATTTTTTTTTACAAGCATTCCAAGAACACAGTATTTGGGAAAATCTCTCCATTCCAGGTATGGAAACAAATTTCCTAGGATTGTATCATGCACATTTCCAGAAAATTCTGAAAAAATATCTCCGTTTCAGGCATTGGAACAAATTTCCGAGAGATTTCTTCATGTTTCTGATGCGGGGATGCGTGCCGGGTGAGGGGCATCTCAGAGTGCTAAAGCAAACTCAACTCCCTGTACCTCCTTTCCCAGCATTCTTAAACCATATCACCTACCTTTCTTATGTTATTTTGAAGCTTATTTTGAAGCAACACTTTTACACAATCTAGATCAATAAATAGAGCTAAAACCACAAAGGGAAATCTAAATTAAAGTTTAACATGACCACCATTTGTATAGACACTAGTTGCCTAGCTTCAACAATCGCCATAGCAACACAGCCCAACTGGGATGCTGACTCTGCTGACCTCAAATTTGAAAAATATGCATTGAAAAATACATATTAGTAAAAACTACAAAGATTGATTGATAGATTGTGGTAATTACATTCCTGGTGATGCAACAGATTAGGTCATATGTCACCAAATTAAACTAAAAGCTTAGAAGTCTAAAATCAATCCATGCAAGGTAAAAAACATACTGGTAAATAATAAATAGCAATGAACTTTTGTAAAAAAAAACAAAAAAACAATTAAACATTAATAGATAAAACTCAAAGCTTGTGTAGAAGGAACCACAAAGAAGACAAGTCACTGTTAAGAATGTAAAAGTAAACCTTGAAATTACCCATTCAAGCATTACAGAGATCCACTTCTATTTTGTAATTTACTTATATTGTACTTCAAAAGAATACAGGAAGCTAATAAAGAAAAAATTCAACCTTACAACAGTACAATATATGTAACACACAGGTTAACCAAATTAATATTTTTGGGATTCATCGTGGAATCGGTGACGTATCAGGAAAGAGCAATGAAGAGTCATAAACCTAAACAAGTTCAGTATCAGCATTTAGATGATGTACTACACTTACTCTCTCTTGGCTGTTTGTTGACATGCCATAATGATGGGGAGGTGGGCTTGGGTGAGGAGGAAGGCCATTTATCACTCTTGGAGACTCACAGTTTGAGTGTACACTATGTGGGACCTTCAGCACACGTTTTGTTGTCCGCAGCATGAACACGCGTCCAGCCTGTCCTTTGTCTTCCTCTGTGGTGTTGCTCTTGCCCAACTGGTGAAACATAAGTTTATGTCTTTCTAATATATTTCTCCAAGGATGATGTAATGCTTAGTTGGGTTCTGACAGAAATGAAATATCAAGCACAGAGCCTTAAACATTGAATACAGTAATCCCTCACCAACAGTATGGTTACATTCTAGAATTCCCCTGTGGTTGGTAAAACCACAGTTGGCAAGGGCTGGGTCTAATGAGAAATGACCCCTGAGCGAAATGCCTAATTCCTAAAATGTACAGCTGAAGGTTAAAAATAAGTAAAGGGTGTATACTATACAGTACAGTATTTAAGTGTTTTTTTCATTAAACATTACTGTGTAAGATTTCTGTGTGGTACACTATACAGGTACAGTATTAGAAAAATTTACACAAACTGTATATTGGAACAGTCCCCCTACTGCCATATGCCTTAACTTCAATGGTCTCCCAAGCAACATAAATATCTTTATAAAGTTTTCATACCCTACATGGTTTTCATATGCAAATTTGCATATATCGTACTGTATTTCCCAAAAAATTTGTTTCCTTGAAACTTTAGAGCAGGGAATATACTTGTAAATGTTGGGCTTATCAGAGTTGGTTCGTATCTGCTTCGTAGGTCTGACAGCTGCACTCCTCAGTTATCACAAAGCACAGTCACTCCTGGATGTAGCACACATCTTTGCATTTATTTCTACTGTTATTTCAATTCTATTTTATGAGTGATTTATTCTCATATCTTTATAAATGCTTATATCACAATAAAAAAAAAATTGATGGCACAGAAAATGTAAATTCTTCAAAATGTAGGATGTGTTATGCATCAAATATTTTTTAAATACAGTATAGTCGGATTTACGCGGTTTTTGTTTACGCGTTTGGTCATTTACGCGGTGCCTTGCCAGAATGAAATGTTTTAGTTATGCAGTAAATTTCATCATTTACGTGGGAAGCAGCGCAGGCAGGATGTGCACAAGGTAGCCCAGTCATCAAAACATTACCGAGTTCTTCACCCGCCACCCACCACAGCCGGCCCAGTCAGTGATAGTGAGGATATGGACTTTGAGGGGTTTGACAAAGAGGCCCTGCAAGCCTCTGTGGTGGCTAGTGATACAATTGATACAAGTGAGGGCCAATAATCTGCCCTCTGCCTCGGAACCCACCCCCCATCTCCTTGTGCCCAGCCATCTTTTCTACTAACGTAAGTGTTAAAAAACCTAATATTATTGATATTTCTCTTAAATATTAATTGTGTGTGCATACCATCATAAAATTAAGATGTTATTTTTACTACACCGTACGTATTGTGTCGGAAAAAGTGGAGTTTGGGAGTCGGCCCAGTCTCTATTTCAATTAATCCCATATGTTCTGTTATTTTGTTTACGCGTTTCTCGTTTTACGCGGACCTCCACGGATTCAATTGACCGTGTAAATGAAGACTATACTGTATACTGTAAATGTGAATTTTAAAAATAAATTGTAAAAAAATCAAGAACTTATTTTCTTCAATTTTGTAAAAAATGGTGTTTCTCTTATTTAAATTGTATTTCATCAATAAAACTATAAAAAAAATTATGTGAAAGAGACACATTGAGTATGCTGGCTACACTCAGACCACGAGGAGTGTGGTTACTTTTCCAGTTCCCAACAATGAGTGTTAAATGATGACTATTGCCAGAGCAATAGAAAGCCATATATTGTATAATGTGAAGGATGAAACTAAGCAAACTTATAAAACACTTGGGAACCGTGGGAGGGCGGGGGGGAGGGGGGGGGGGTGAAGGAGGTCAGCCCCCAGGTCAGCTGTCAATCAACCACACATTAATGATTTTATTAATTTTAGATTTTGATGTTATTTTCATCACATTTTATGGCATACATTATTATTTGTACATGATTGCTCAATAATATAATAGAAACCAAAGAGTAAATATAATAGTAACATCACCATTAAAAAAATTTTTATTACCACCATAAATATTTTTATAAACATTCAAAACATTCAACATTTTCATAATACTGGATACTATATTCTGTTCACTGTAATATCCCACCTTCCCTAACAGATGCAAGTCTCTGCAGCTAACTAACTACCCAGGTTCAACTTTACCCAAGGTGGAATACCCAATGAAACTGCTAATAAACTTAAAAGATGAAATTTAGATGCCAAAACCCACAATCATCCATATATATTCCTTTCAAGAATAACCCTTAATCCTGTAACAATACTTGTAATTCTAAAATGGAGAATAAGAGCAAAATCTGAATAATATACAGTACAGTAAGTCCTCGTTTAACATTGCCCCCGACAACGTTGTTTCGTTATAACGTCGCTACTCTTTAGATACCCATGATTCGGAAAATGTCCTTCCGATTCGGAATAACGTCATCACGGGCTACTTTGTACGGCGCATCACCCTCTCTCACCCAGTCAGAGCGGGAGGAGGAGCCACCCTCCGAGTCTCGGTGACTCGCCACCCTCCTCCTCTCCACTACCCACCACACACTCACTCCACCTCCGCCCATCAGTGAGTACAATACAAAATTATTTAGTTTATTTTTCTATGAAAATTTCATTGAATTTATGTACAGCATATGTAATGTATTTTATGGGGCAAAGGGAGGCTGGGGAATGTAACTCCCATATTTTATCTATTTCTTATGGGGAAAATTGATTTTGTTAACGTCGCGGTTTTCAGGAACGGTACCACGACGTTAAGCGAGGACCTACTGTAATTATATATTATAAATTGTACTTGTATTTACTATTATACAATTAGCCTTTTGTCACTAACTATTTCAGAAGCTAAATTAGTGTTTCCCGCACACCTTTGCATCCTTAAACAACTCTAAGATATTCTTGCATAGTTGTCTACTCCACCATTCTAAGACACTTCTTCCTTTCCTCACTCTAACCTTCAACATTCAATCTTTGTCCCCTTCCTTCCATCCTGCTTGCTACACTTACAGTACATACAAGTCCCCAAATCAGGCCATATTTGTACTTACCTGAGAATAATAGTTTGACCCCCATCCCCATAGCTGTCCCTGAGATTCGAGAGCAAGGGTAAAATCAGCTCCACAAGCTATGTCAGTAATGTAGGCTTCGTCCAGGATACGAGTCGGACTCAAAACTTCACGACGGTTTCCAGTTCCTGTAAATATATGATGAACAAGTTAGCATTATATTAACCCTTTTACACAGTGGCTCATAGGTGTGTTGGTTCCTACAAATGAAGACTGATGCACTGGCTCAAATATAATACCAATACCTTATAAAAACCCTAGATACTGATGGAAATTGTATACATTACGGTACACTGTTTCTATGGCACCTTGGGAGCATTAGCAACATGTGATCATTCTTAGAGGATTGGTAGTACCTTATCTGAAGCAATATAGAGAAAATGTAATACTGTCCCTCCCAATTTACAAACTGATATATATATATATATATATATATATATATATATATATATATATATATATATATATATATATATATATATATATATATATATATATATATATATATATATATATATATATATATATATATTGGTCTGAGAGCAAGAGTTACCTGTTAATAGTTGAAGAAGTACCTTCTGATTCATGTGTTAAATTTTATCTCTTCAATATTATTTACAATGGCTTTTCACTCCTTTCTTCATGTTATAGGGTTCCCCAAAATGATTAGGTTGATGGCCCTCTAAAAATATGAAGAGACTGGGCACCAGGATGCCAAACCTTATATACTGTAAATCAATGACAAATAGAACAAACTACAGTACATACTGAATTTTGGGGATGATGTTTAGAAGTTAAATAAGGTCTGGCTCATTGTTTCTATTATCTTTTTCTTTTATGAAAAATTAGGTTCTATGTACAGTAAAGGAAAATCTGAACAATCCCTTTCATAAATTTAAAGGTGTGAAATACAAAAGTATACACCCAAGAATCTTGTTCATTACTAGCCATAAAAGAACTCACCAAGTTGCCCAGACATATTCCTTCCCCAGGCATATAAAGCTCCATGTGTTGTTAACAGGATACAATGCTGACTTCCACATGCCACTGCTCTTACTGCACCAAAACCGTGAGGCATCTCTACTTCCTGTGGCAGAAGGTGACCCAGGTCACTAGGATCACATGATGGTACAGTATTTGCACTGACCTTACGTGACCCACCACAAGGTATAGAGTCTGGGGAAAAAAATAAAATTAGGGTTGTAATTAGAAGGAGAGTTGATGAGGTTTGTAATTAGAAAGCGGAGCCAAAACTGGAGCCAGACAAGGAGGAGATTTTGCAAGGGTTTTTATCTAAGCATGGAGACACCAGAAAAGGGTATGAAGTTTATATATTAATCAGGCTTTTGGAATGTCTATTTCAGAGTTATTGTAGTTCCTTTGAGCCCATGAGAGCATATAACAATAACACAGAATCCAAGAAACAACCCTACTCAGAGAAACGTACAAACCATTATTTAAAGACAATTTTGCCAATTGCCTGGAAATACTTGCTCATCTTAATTTATTATTGAACATCCCCCATTAATTCTACAGCTGCTACGTGCCAACAGAGTGGTCCACAATTAAGGTTGCAAAATGCTACTAATTTGCCAAGGTTTTGGCATAATTTTTTTAATTTGTGCGCCTAGTGAAGCACTTACGGTATAGACTAGTGGTTCTTAATCTGGAGATGCACCCCTTGGAGCAGTACAGTTTGTTTAACTCTTTCAGGGGGGCCCAAAGGATTGAACATAATTCTGACACAGAATATACAGTATACTCCCAATGAAATGAACTTGTAATTAAAAAATTGGCATGGCAGCATCAGGCAGGGAAAACTCGCCATTCATTAATCTCACTCTTAACTTCATATAGAATTGCCAAAGATATCATTCTACTTCAGGGATCCCACATGAGCATTATATCAAAATTTTTGGAGATAAAAATGTAATAGAAAACTAAGAAAAATTAAAAATATGGTGGAAAAACAATGCCAGTGTTTGAATTTGTATCAGAGCTGCAGTTCTGTTGCTTGACTGAGTTGGAACAATGCATATTGATGCCCTCATTAAATTTAAGTCTTTTTCTCGACATTTGTCAAACCTTCAGAATTTGGGAGGTTAGTTTCTGGAGATAAATTTCAATTCAGCTGCCCAAGATGACTTCAAAATCCTACCACTGGAACAGTTTTGGGTGAAATAACTGCCTGCTTATCAAAAACTTACTCGACAAGCATTGTGAGTGATTGGTCCATTTTCTTCCACATACCTTTGTGAGACAGGCTTTTCAATGCTCGTTACAGTACACTAATTCTCAAAACTTACTGAATGTTAACAACTACATGCAGTGTGCTCTTTCTTTTACCTCACCAAGAATTCAAATGCTTGTGGAGAAGCAATGCCAATCCCCCATTAACTCTCGATGAACTATACTTGAACTTAAAGGAATATTACATTTGTATTGAGTATGGTTATTTGGATCTAGAAAGAAAATAAAGGCGATGAAACTGGAACTCGAAACAAGGTGTTCTTTGGCCCTTTCAGGATCAGGGGGGGCACTGGATTCATGGATGATCATAGGAGGGGTGCAGCTCCAAAAAAGTTAAGAACCACTGGCATAGACTGTGTCCCATAGGCCTCAAGGACCCCTTACACCATCCCTGCACTCCTAGCCGCACCTCAGAACACAGTCGTTATGGAGGAAGTTTGTTCATCTCCATCCCCTAGTCACTTGGAACTATTCACTTCACGTGGTGGTACAGGAACTCTTCGCCACGGCTAAACCAAGGTAGATAAATAATTTATTCTTTCTTATCCCTTCAGCCTGCATGCATATTTTTAGTTTTGCAAGATAACAATATATTTTTCAAGAACTTGAAATATTTGTGAAAACTGTGCATGTGGTGGATGACAACGTTACTACAAGCAGCAGTAAAAAGGTTAAGAAAAGGGAGGAAATAGGATCAAACACTTAATGTAAAGTGGTGACTTCTGATTTACTTTTTAGAATATAATCAAATCTCTCCCAGCTGAAAGAACATAATCAGTCCTTATTTACATCAGAACAAACCTAAGACAGAAGATGATACTGCATCAAATTCCTACACTTCAGCACAAAATCATTTAAGGAAGAGCCCTAAACACTAATCCAAGAACATGGACTAAATATCATAAGGTTTTGAGTATTTCTTGATCTCGCAGACAACAAACACCAACACCTGTTTCTATACACTAAAATTTTGTTTATAGGACTTGACCAACACAGCCATGACTAAAGCTATGAACACGAAAGGTACATTGCATTGTTATTAACATTTCAATTTCAATAATATGGCCTTCTGGGGTCCTAACAAAAGGAATAATTTCAATGTCTGATACACAAAGCTACATAGGCCAGTAATTTCCAGTGATATGATTCTATCTAATGTAGTTAATTCATTACTTTATGAAACCTTACTAAATGTATATATACTCAACTTTAATCAAGTTACTGTAGATATACAATTATATAGGTACAGTATACCTCAATTTACAATAACGACTTCAGACTTTTGATTTCATGATAAAAGGATGTGTCTATCTGTGAGTGAGTGTCTGTCTGTTCCAGCCATAGCTCCAAAATGGAAGAAGTTAGAGACCCTAAACTTTACACTCGCATATTACATGGGTCCCAAGATTGTATTACAGTCGGCCCTTCACATACGTGGGTTTAGCATTCACGGATTCGCAAATACGCGGATTGCCCCGCCAGAGGAATATTCTGTACATTGAAGTAATTGAAGTACATTCAACTCGCGCGCGGCACCGAACACGGGACACCGCCTCCTCCCGCAACCTCACACACACACGCATAGCTCTCCCTCACTCAGTCAGTCTCGCTGTAACCACACTTGTGTTGACATCAGCATTGTAGTTGCAAAAATATTACATTTCCGTGAATGTATTATATCAAGCACAGTATGAATAGAATATCACTAATATAAGAGTATTTTAACCGAAAACTACTAAAAAAACGAGTAACATCTCTTGAACATCGGAAGGTTAGGTAAAGTCTCTTGTTTTCGTCATGTATTTTATCCTAATTTACATTGAAATACATCACGTTTCAGCAAAAGTACTATTTATTTCTGAGAATATGGAAATGTAATATTTTGCTGAAATGACGTACGTATTACAGTGGAAAGTGACGAAAGTGATGACTCGCTTTCTTTCGCTCAAAAGATGTTACCGTAATCGCTTTTCGAATGGTTTTCAGTTAAAAAACCGTTGTATTACAATAATATTCTATCCTAATTCACTTGTGATGCAACATTTTTTTAACTGAAAACCATTCGAAAAGCGATTACGGTAACATCTTTTGAGCGAAAGAAAGTGAAAGTCATTGTTTTCGTCACAATTTTGTCCCACATTCCACTGTAATACTTACGTCATTTCAGCAAAAATATTTCATTTCTGTGAATGTAGTATATCAAGCACAGTATGAATATAATATCATTGTAATATAACAGTATTTTAACCGAAAACTATTAAAAAACGAGTAACATCTCTTGAACATTGGAAGGTTAGGTGAAGTCTTTTGTTTTCGTCATGTATTTTATCCTATTTTACATTGAAATACATCACGTTTCAGCAAAATTACTATTTATTTCCAAGAATATATTCATTCAGGCGCAGTTTAGGTAAAATATACGTGTGATGTAAAATTTTTTTAATTGAAAACGATTCAAAAAACACGTACCCTCTAGCCCTGTTCAAGGAGAAGACTGGGAGAAGCTGTTTGGTGCTGCAGACGATGACAAGGAAAATGATTTTGATGGATTTTAATGAAAATATTCAGAAATATGGTATCGTAGTATTTATTCAAGTCAATTAGGATAGGATATTATTGTAATACAACAGTAGTGACGATGTGGAGGAGGCGGAGGGATAGAGCGGGGAGGAGGTGACTGGCGGGAGCAGGGACGAGTGGAGATGCCAGCCAGTACATTGCGGGTGTATTAATTGTTTTTACAGCTATTTTTGCATTTTAATGTTAAATACTGTACATTACGTTTCAACAAAACTACCATTTATTTCTGAGAACATGGAAATGTAATATTTTTGCTGAAATGATGTACGTATTACAGTGGAAAGTGACGAAAGCAATGACTTTGGCTTTCTTTCGTTCAAAAGATGTTACCTTAATCGCTTTTCGAATGGTTTTCAGTTGTGGGATTATAAGGCTAATGATAGGATAGAATATTATTGTAATACAGTACGAGTACAACAGTTTTTTAACTGAAAACCATTCGAAAAGCGATTACGGTAAAATATTTTGAACAAAGAAAGAATGCGAAAGTCTTTCGTCATGATTTTATCCCACTTCCCACTATAATATGTACGTCATTCCAGCAAAAATATTACATTTCCATATTTATTTCCGAGAATATATTCATTCAGTCACAGTTAAGGTAAAATATACTTGTGATGTAATATTTTAATGAAAATCCAGTATCGTAGTTTTCTCTTGTTTCAAATTTAATTAACAAAGATTGATGTTTCAAATGTAATGAACAAAAATTTATGTCCAGTATCTATAAATTAACTTTAATAAATGAATACTTTGTTTTACATCGTCCTGTGCTACCATACCATGGATTTGGCTACTTTGGGCTCGCAAGAGATCTGCCCTGGCAACTGTACCGACACTCACAGCTGGTGGTGTGTTGGTGCATCGTTTCCATTGTTTACTGGTAGTTACTGGTAAATATTTTTCAACCTAATGAAACTATTACCCGTTTATAGGTCAACCCCCAATTTTTGCCAAATAATTTGGTCTTAAAAACTCGAACTACACACAGGTATATACGGTAAATAAGGACATGGGGGGCCAGGGATTTTGGGGGGGGGGGGCAGCAGCAATAGTACACGGATTTTTAACATTCACGGGTATCTCTGTTACCTAACCCCCGCGAATGTTAAGGGCCGACTGTATTATTGACCACAGACCCCCTGGTGATTTGTGCAAGAACCGAAAACCTTCCCCAACTGAGATATCGCTGTAGCGATTGTGGAAGGTGGTTACCCGTGTCAAGGAGGGCAAACTGTGACAGTCAAAGTTATACAATACATAATATATATAGCTAATCAAAGGGAGAATGAAAAACATTACAGTATTTTGTTAACACAAACAATAATAAATTTATCTTAAAACTC